CCCACACAGGAAGAGAAAGAACGAGAGAGAGAGAGAGTAGTTAGAGAGAGAGAAAGGCCAGGACAGGCGGTAGGACACAGAGATGCAGGGAAAGAGGGAACAAGAGAGAGAGAGAGAGAGAGAAAGAGAGAAAGAAGGAGAGCGAACGCGCCGGCCCGGTTTGATTTCACCGGATGGGTTCGCAATAACAGTGCAAATTATTATTCCACTCCCGTCCACATCGATCGATATGTCGCTCCGATCTATATATTGCGTGGCTATGATCCGAAGCCGACACTGCCGACCTTCCCTACTCCAAGTAACCCCCGGAATTAACCCAGGCAAAGCAGGACGGCGGAGGGTGGGAGCCGGCGGAGAGACGGAAACAGACGGACAGAGAGAGAGAGAGAGAGAGTGCGTGGGAGAGTGAGAGTTTCCAAAGAGTGTTCATGGAGCAGAAAAATATCGACAGATCACGCGCGCGCACAGGCGGATAGACGCGCGTGCACGAACATACTAGGCTGCTTTTAATAACCGATAATATCCGACGTGCGCCGAATTCAATTTATAGGAAAAATAGAGCTACGCTGTTTCCTCCGTCGTCGTTGAGGGTAGGGACAAAGAGAGAGGAGGAGGGGTGGAGAAGGGGACGGTGTGGACGATTTCCGGTGGCGACGAAGCAGTCGTAAAAATCGCGGGACGTCCTTTTACCGCGCGCGGCTCCTTTCCATCGCGCACACGGAAAAATTCCTCCGGGCGCTTTCTCTCCCTCTCTCTCTCTCTCTCTCTCTCTCTCTCCTTCTCCCTTCCGTCGGTAGAAATAATAAAACCGCCGAAATATCGGCGCTGTACGGCGTTACTTATCGTCGAGCACTACCGTCGCCGCCGCCGTATTATTTCGACACGCGCGCGCTGCTAAGGCGAGCGAGAAGATTGGAGTACATCCCTTGTTCTAATCGACGACTCGACGTCGCGTAAGAGTCGCGCCGCGAAACAGTAAGTTTCTCGGCGCACATGTGCGACGTTTCACGGTGGAAACCGGGGGGTATTCGAGACGATTTCCGGGGATTGGACCTTCGGGGATTGACGCGAAAATAACAGCGAAAACGGTAATGCAGGACGATTATGAGGGTAAACGTGAGAGTAAATTATATCGTCAGATGTGAAATTGAATCTATTTTACTGATCTTAGCGCCGTATCAAAATTAAAGGCGCCAGATCAGAATTTCGACTCGGGAAGAGAATTGCATTCCTTCTATATCTTGCACGACTTGCACGTGTCCTGCAAGCGGCAAGCGGAAATTTCGATGCTACTTTAATGCTTTTAAGCGTTATCACAGATACATTTGTTTAAGTAACTAGACGCAGATACTAAAAGGGAAAATTAGATACAGATGCAGATACAAATTTTAGATGAATAATTCGATATAAATACATGTACTATGAGAATATACGCATCACGAAGTGTATCCAGATATATTCTCATAGTATCTATATTTAATTATTTACCTCAAGCTTATCTGTACCTTTATCTACTTACATTTCCCTGTCATTATCTGTATCTGTGTCTAGTTACTTCCAAAAATCTACCTATTACAATACTGCTCTTAAGGATAAATTGCACCTGCTTAAACGGTCCGCAAATTAATAAAAACCTACTTCGACAATACTGCCGTTTATTAACCTCTCTCTTGAATCTTTAATTCCTCAGATTTCATTGTAACGCTACCTCGAATAACTTATTTTCATATTAAAACAGCGAGAACGAAAATTTAATGCGTCGTCAGAATCGAAGGTAGGAGCGAACTGTACCGTTAAAATAGAAATTTCAGCTATTCTGCCATCTTAGCTCCCACCGTGTTGTGGAATTGAAAGTTTAATTACAGGATCGAAATCTCGGGATACCTCGCGTGTCTCGCAACTTCGGAATCCTCCGTGACTGCGAGAAGAATTCGCACAGGCGCGAGCGATACGATATCGCAGCGCGCTGTCATATCGAGCTGTGTATCAAAGGTAACGCGCAAATTCATTTCTCCTCCCTCCTCCCCCTCCTCCACGGTACGTTGGGCTAGGATGGGGCGGGTAACGGCGGAGCCCTGACGTTCTGGCGGAGCCAGAAAAATATTGAACAATTGACGGTCACACGCCGCGCCCTGCGCGGTGTGTTTAATAATGGATAATATTTGATAACAAATTCACCCGAGGGTGGCGACGGTGGCGGTGATGATGATGGTGGCCATTCGTCAGCGCGCGCCGCTACCAAACCGCCGAACAATTTCATGATGAAAACTCAAAATAATAGTAAACGCAACCCTTTCGAGAGCGCTTAAACGCCATCACGCTTCGACCTTATCTCGAGCACGCTCGCTCGCTCGCTCGCTCGCACGCGCGCGTATCGATGTTTGGGGGTACCCATAAGTAATGCCGTTTCTTTCAGATTGAATAAACATTGCCACCTTGCTCGTGGACGTGATTTATTATTACACATAATCTACGTACTAATTAAATTGATTGGCATTTGGTGCGCTTATCGTGAAATTTTGACGGAATCTGAGTGCACCGTTAAGAATGGAAGACCGAAGAGTGTGGATAAGGTGCGTATCGGATATTCGATGCTTTACGGGTTTTGAAGGGGTAATTCCGTGCCGCAAGTGCCATTAATTATGTTCATCCTGGTGCCCTGGATATGAAAACGTATCAGTGTTGGTTTGAAAAGTTCAAAAACGACGATTTTTCGATCTTTCCGACGGACCAAAATCTGGAAGACCCGAATTGAATTTGACAAGGATCTCGTGTCGGGGCTGAAATTGGAGCCGGTCCTAAGCGAACCATTCAGGAATTAGCGACAAAGTTGGAGACATCACAATCAACGTGGTAATCGTGGTCGTCATGTTAAATAAAATAAGATTTTCTATCGAGTATCAAAAAGCGACATTACTTATCGGCCTTGATATTTTCGCTTCCGCGTACTCGACGGATCTGTACATTTCAATATTATCCCCGTCTCATATCGTATTCGCGTTTTCCATATTTAAAGCCGGCGAAGCGCACGGCAAGTAAGATTTAGCGTGAAACAAACAGGGAGAAAATCATGAGGTAGACTCTCTCTCTCTCTCTCTCTTTTGCTCTCTTCTCTTATCGGGGACGCGGCGCGATGGATTTCCGATGACGAAATTGGCAGGCAGGCGGCGGCAGCGGTTCGCGATGATTTTATGATGAGCGCATTAAACGAATACTCGCCGTCGCTTTGACGATGTTACTACCAGAGCGGCCCCCGTTAATTTCATCGTTGAGAAATTATTCCGTTGCCCGATTTACCTCTCCCTCCCCTCCGCCCCTCCCCAGGGGGTTTCGGGGGTTTTCAATTATCCCGGCCCCGACTTTATATCATTGTGTCGGCGGCCTCGAGCGCTGGTCCCGGCTCGTACTTCCTAAATCAAATTATCGCGGAATAACGATATCGCTAATTATTGGCAATGTCAGGTCTTAATTGGGCGAATCATTGCCGTATTTTGCGCCGCCGTTATTATACGGGGGGAGGAGGGGGAGGAGGAGGAAGAGGGTGTTTGTATCGGAGTCGACGGATGTGCCGCGCGCGTCCGCGGCGCGAGAGAGTCGCACGCACTCGCAAAAGCGTCGTAATTCGCATCGGGGCATTCAGATAATAAATTACTCGCCAGACACC